AGCACACTGGAACACAACTGATGACATTAATCGCTTTATTTTAAACTGGTAATAGCGTAAAAAAAGTGACATTCTTAATATTTATATATCCTCTTAAAACCACGGTTTTATAAATCTATATTTTTCGCTAACAGAATGTAGAGTAAATTTATAGACTATTTCAAAGATGAACAAGACCAAATAATTTTTATTTTTATTGGTTCATAAGTTCATAAGTCCATTTTGGAAAAACTCGTTTATACAAATTCATCAACACTGTATCTTGAGACTTTAGTTGACCATTGAAGATGCACTTCATGTGCCCATGTGTACCTATAACAAAATCGGGAGCATATATATATTAATTACATTAGTTAATATAAATGCAACAAATAGTATAAGATGCAATCATTTACCTAAAGGTTCTTTTATGTGGCCTCTACGTCCATATTTTGTCCTCATTTGGACTGGTTTGAACCATTCGATATCCTCTCGGTGAAAGAACATAAAGCGTATAACCACTGATTTCTTATTTACTTTGTATGGGTGACCACTCAAAACTACTCGTTTTAAGATAATTCTGTTGGGATCACAAGATAACACGCTACCAGTTGCAATTAATTCCTAAAATGACAATGTCATTTGAACTTGATAGCAGCACTTATATCTCATTCTCGTATAGTACAACTCTAATATAATATTAATAACACTATAAAAAAATATACATACAAGTTTGCCACTTTTACTCTCGACATAACAAAGAATTGGACATGGTGAAAAAGTAATGGGTGCGTACATACTCGCCACAACTGTAGTTTCAGGGTGAAAATATCTCTCGTACTAAACATATTTATCATGGTAAAACATAAATTTATAGACAAAGTACTGTAATATTTCTTTATACTATAATCATGTTTCAAATATAAGATAAAAGTGCATCAATTTACCTTATGCTTAGTACCATTTGTATGTTGGCTGAATATTGGACATGTCGTAAATCGTCTAAATCCACACTGAAATATCAATCTTTCCTTTGATTTGATTGGATGTGTGTAATTGCTCGAATGTTTCAATACGACGTTTAAAAGAGACATTTTATGTTCATACGGAAGTAAACCGACCACTATTAATGGCTTATTTTCTATTGTAGCGAATGCTTTGAAAGTTTCTCTGCTAACACGAGCGATACAAACTTGTATATAACATCCTGGCTGAAAGCATATATATATATATATATATATATTTAAATTAAACAGGCGCGGTGGCCATATGCCCGAAATCATTTTCAAATGTTAATGCCATGCATTGATCTTTCGACTAAAAAAAATTTTTTGATTATAATTTAATTTTTGTGTTAGTTTTTACAATTTTAAGTTCTATCGGGCTTAAAAAAATCTATCGGGTTTAAAAAAACACCTTTTACATACATACATACGTATATAGAGTATCCGAAAAACTAACAATATTTAAAGGCCGATTTCTGAGATTATTTTGAGATAAAAATCCGAGTACCAAAATGTCGAGACTATAATCATTTTTTATTTATAAACATAAAGTTAACGAATTATACCACACACATACACACACACACACGCGCGCGCACGCACGCGCACACACACACACACACAAAACTGCAAGTAATAAATATTTAATGCAAGATTAATACTGAAAAAAGATAATTGTCAATATACCATGACTCCTTCGATATCTTTACATTCTTTGTAAATACGTTTTCGTCTGCGATCATAATCGGCAAATTCAATTATCCGAGAATAATCAATGGGAAGATTTTCCTTTGGATCCCATGGACTAGTACGGAACGATTCAAGACCTCGATATTTTTGGAATCTTATTTTAGCCAAGATGTCCTGAGGTGTATCCACTTCATCAGGAAATTGTGCGTCCAATTTTGCTTCTGTATTTTATTAAAATATTACTAAAACGAATATGAAAAATACATTTTTTTTGCGTATGATAATACATATAATTATAGTAACCTTTGAACTTTTCCATGGCTTGCTTTTCTTCATTCATATCGATATCTTGATCATAACGTTCTTCATCTAATGCTTCTGATATCGTAATAGTTTCATATTGTTCATCATCTTCCATATCTTCACTACTAGCTGCTTCAGATTTTGCCTTTTCCACATCCATGTTGTCTTCTGATTCATTTTCTGAACATATACCCAGGCTTTCTACACACAAACAACATATATTTTTGAAATAGGATTAAATAATTTTTTAGAAGGAAAAAAGGAGTAAAATATGTAACCTCCATCTTCATCTGGTATCCATGCAGCTTGATATTCAGAGGTTCCTTTTGGCACAACTTTTACAATTTTTCTCTTTCTATTGTTTGCTGCTTCAGCCAATTCTTCTTTCGTAGGCCATGTTTGTTCAGCATCCATTGGATCAGGAATATATTCGCTCTCAAGAGATTCCTACAAATTTTAATATTTTAAACATATGTTGACATTATTATTATTATTGCTATTAAAGTTACATATAAATATATTGGCACAAATAAATCACATATAAATTATAAATAATTTTGACATGTCTTTACAAATATGCCCTGATAATTTTTTACTTTCTCTATCTCTCTCTTGTTGTTAATATGGATACTGTTCAAATGTTCACACTTTTAACATCAAAAAATTAGTAAGAGCACTAATAATACTTGTTTGAGAATTTTTCCTGGCGACCTTTAATTCAAAAGATACAAATCATTAATATTAAAATATGTGTAACAAACCTGTTTTTCTGGATCTGGAGTTAAAATCTCGATTTCATTTCTCCATTCCATTTTACTATCAGAAAGATGTCTCTTCTGCTCATGTTCAATTAAATACGGATCTCTCAATGTTTTGATGCAAGACATTTGAAAGTTTCCAAAACCTGATATATGAATCAAACCATTGACAGATAATGGTGTCGCCCCTCGTAAATATCCATTGACCATGAGAGTTCCAAAATCAAGAGAATCCTGTCGAGATAAGCATTATGTGATGAAACATTAAATGGCATTCAATTTATTTTTTATATATTTTAAATATGTATTTAAAATTTTACGTACTCCATCACATTCGAAGGAGACTTCCTCAGCCAAAAGATATGGTCTTATATCTTTATAAAATAAACTTCTTTGCTTTTGTAATCCGGCATGGCGTAACATATTTAAGCAATCAGCTGTAGTATCTAATTCAAATACTTTTTCTGCAGGAAGCCATTTTGAAATTGTACGTTGTATAGATTGTTTATATTCTTGACGTTTCTATAATATATATTTAAAATGTATCAAAGAATAATAAATAACATGTTTGATAACGTAGAATTTACAATGTTTTTGTAATAGAATTAATTTATATTATTTTCAAAGATTTTTGAATTAAAAATTTTTGTATTATTGCTTACTTTAATATGAAGTGTTTGAATATTATGCACTGCAACTATAGTAGAAGGTAAACCTTGAGCAAGACAAGATGTAATAATTTCCTTGCCCCAATCATCTATAATTTGTCCTTGCTTATTATCATTTCCTTGACTTGCAACTGAAGTTACAAAGAGTATTGTGGTAGCAACTTTAGCTGCATCTAATGTCGCAAAAATGTCATCTATTGGTGGTATAATAATAGAAAACCGCTGTTTCAGCCTTGGTATACTAAATAAATACAAATATAAATTAAAAAAATTAATGCCAAATTTTTAATTTATTATTTAATAAATATAAAAAAACAAATTCCTTCATCTACAGTATACCTAATATGGGTTATTCCATTTGAACTAGTAGCAACATTAGCAGTTTCATCCATATTAATTACAACAGATACAATGTTCTTTATATCTATGTCACTTTGCAATGGTATAACACAGATAAGGATAGGTGCTGAAGAAAAGCCACCAAGATTTCTTTTCTGTGCCAATACTTGTTCGCGTTTCTTTTTTCTGTGTTGCAATAATTGATTTCTACGTGCATCCTTCCGAAGATTTTTCTCAAAACGTTTAGACGACTTTCCGATAATACTTTGTTTACCTAGGCAAGAAAAAATGAAATATATTTTTTCAAAAACAAACAAAAAATATTCCATAAAAGCATGTTTTAAACATTGGTATATAGAATTTGTTATTGCATTCAGAAAGAAAGGATTATTATTGTTAATTGAATAAAACATAATTTTCTGTTTACAAATTTGTTACTATTACACGTACAGAAAACTTACCTTTGAAATCATTATTGATGGCACTTTTACTGCGATGTCTTCCAGTCTTGTGTTGTTTATTAGATTGTTTAAGTGCACCTGGCCGATGTGTCTCTTGTTTTATCATATTCATTGTAAATATCGTAAAGAGACACTACAACTGTAATCCAGAAAGAAAATAATTATTAATCACCATGCGGTTGCAGTAAATTGGAGTATATATTGTACATTAAGCAATTAAAGGTGCATTTTCATGAGCTGTTGAAGCTGAACAGTCAATCAAATGCTTGCCACAAAGTTAGTGGATTGCACATGGTAGCAATCATGCCAATCATATTCCTTTTTATAATTTAATGCAACATATGATTGGTCAAAGAGCAATTGGCATGTTCTAGGAACTGCACATCTTCGGAAATGGAATATCTTAAGGTACTTTTGGGGGTTCTGCACAATAAAAGGAACAGGCAACAGAGAACAAAGAATAAGAATTTCAATCTATCAAAAACTGTGTATTCCACAATACATAATTTCTGATAGGTTGAAATTCTTATTCTTTGTTCTCTATTCTCTGTTCCTTTTATTGTGCGAAGCTCTATATTGTGCGGAACCGCTTACATAGCAGTGTTGAGTGTCATGTGCTTTAGTCAATTTTTAATCACGTGACCTGTTTTTAGCGAATAGTATGCTCACAATGCTCCTATGTAATGGCACCTTCATATTCTTGTACCATGGATGTTACTGCGCGTGCGATGGAGACAATGGAGTGGTGGGAAAAAATCTCCAAAAATCTCTCCATCTGGTATCACTGGTTAGCCTCGTCCGAGCTGGTCTGGACATGAGTACGATGCTCGATTTTACGTTTACCGCATGGTATATGACGTAAAATCGTGTATTTCGTACAAATAGTTTTTTTTTACTATTAATATAAAATATGCTGAACTGCGACTATAAGCAACCATTGTGAAAAAGTGTATTTATTGATGAATGTGAATATTGTACCGACCGTACCGACGTCTGCTAACATTCGATTCGTTTTAGGTTATAACATTTATTTAAGCTAAATTGCTCTCTCGACAATGATTATTTAATACGAACTTATTTCGGCGATGCAAAATAGTTGTATTCGCGCTATCGAATATCCCTAACTTGTATATTAGTGGATATTTAACGTTTTCAACGCATTATTATGGTTATGTGAGTACATATGTATATATATATGTACATATATATAGACATTTTTTAAGAAAACGTATTTATATCTTCCAATTTCAGTTGACATTATATGTCATCATACATTTGGAAAAGAAACATGATATTTGTAAAGAAACAAAAGCAGGCAAATTATTATTAATATCACAAAATTTAGCATATGTTTCTGTATAATATTCCTAAATTGCTAGGTTTTATTATTCATTAATAAACATATTATATTTATAACTTAGAAATGTAAAAATTTTAATGAAATGTATTCTTTGTCGCTTTATTAAATAGTTTTAATACTTGTAAATGACATTGTAACATCTGAATAATATATTCATTTTGTTTTGTCTCTAGAGAGGTAAATCAATATGGCAGAACAACAACAAACCTCTCCTGGTTTCAAACACATGTCTTTGGATAAGATCATTGAAGCTATGACTCCAGATTTGGAAGGTTCCAATGGTCATTATGCCCAGTTTAATGTTCCTTCACAACAAACCACTTCTCGTAATTGGGGAGATTATGTACCTGGACAAACTAGACATCATGTCACCAGTCAACCCACACATTCTAATTCTGGAATACAACCTATGACACCAATGACCACATCTCTGTATATGCAAGATATGTCCAGTTATGATACTACAACCACTGATTCAATATATTTTCCATCACAAACAACAGTAAATCACCTAGGCATTAATGAAAATAATGATTTAATTGGTACCATTGATGTCGGAGGTGGTAACTATATTAATGTTATTTATGGGAATGCTTCTCAAATTATGGCTGAGCAATGTCGTCTTTCAAATATGACACCCTACTCTAATCAAAGTATTGTCAATCAGGAGTATGGGCTTTTCAATGATCAACATATGACTGTACCATCTGAGTTGCCAAGTCAAAACTTTAATGGAAAACAGCTAATCGACAATCTAGTTGAAAATTGGGTGCCAAATCAATCTGGTACTTATAGTCCATTTGGAGGATCTCCCAATATCACACCTGTACCACAAGCTGTACGAGATGTAAGAGAAAGCGAGGATTTACCTTCTAGAAATATATCTGACTCTCAATACAAGAAACCAAGAATGGTGGCTGAAGTAAAGCCTATGCGACCGTCTTACTCTGATGTTTTAACAAAATCTGCACCCACTCCGCCATCTCCATTAACGGTTCAACCTGTGAAACCAAAAATCGAGATAGCAGGCAAGAAAATCTCTAATAAGAACATGAAAACTAAGAACAAGCCTACATTATTGAAGAGACAAAACTCGTCTGGTAGCGATGATCACAATTCTCCGAAAATGCAAATTCCTAGAAAAGTTTTTGAAAAAAATTCTTCCAACCTTCCAAGACGTTGGGTATCACTAGACAATCTTGGTTCACAATCCGATTCTCGTCAGATAAACGCTTTTGATAGATCCGTTCAGTTTTGTTCGGAAAAGAAGAAATCTGATAAGAAATCATCTAAGAAAACAGAAAAGAATGAAACTCTCAATAATACCAAGGTACAAAACAATAATCCCAAAACTGCAGGAATTCCGAAACGTCCGATACAGATAAATAACAATTTGAACACAATCAATACATCCAGTCAGACAATCTCATCTGAAAGAATAGAAAAGAATCAACAAATTATTAATAAAGTGACTAAAGAGGATAAAAAGGCGGTCAAGGAAAAGAATCTTAAACGGTTTCAAACTGAAAAAGCCCAGCAACAAATTAAGAAGGGACAAAGAAATAGGAAGAGAGACAATAGAGAATCTTCTATTAAAGATTTATATAAAAACTTGAATAAGTATGCGACTCGATGGAGCAAAATTTTATTGAAAATCTTTTATTGGCTATTGCATTTAATCTCTGATGTAGTTAGCATGAGCATCAACCTGGTTATTCAACTGTAAGTATAGACAAATATTTAAATATTTGTGCAAGATACATTTTCTCTGGATGCTTTTCATTTGGTGACACAAGTATTGTTTTGTTCTTTGTTATTCATGGAATACCAAGAAAGATAGGAGGACGTTTGTGTTTAAATGGAAAGCACTCTCGCATCTGTATATAAGTTACTAGAGCAAGGTTTCCATTTTTCTTTTTAACATTTTTCAGTGGCAAATGTGCTTGGTATCACACCATACTTTATTTAAAGTGCTGGTGGATATATGTGGCTGTGACATTTTGTAAAATTCATATTTTAAATGCTATTGGTAAACAATTGGACAATTGGCTTGGTAGTAGTAAATTTGCGTTCTGGCGAAAGATAAATACTAAGAAGAACGAAGACAAAGAAGACAATGGTAATTGGATTCATGGTGGACTAGAAACTAATATCGCATTACCCAGCACCGGTGAGGAAGCCATGAAAAGATTATTAGCATGCAAAGGAAAGGATCCTTACAGCATACTTGGTGTTACGCCTACATGCTCGGATGATGATATTAAAAAATATTATAAGAGGCAAGCCTTTCTAGTGCATCCGGATAAAAATCATCAGCCAGGGGCGGAAGAAGCATTCAAAATATTGGTACATGCCTTCGATATCATTGGGGAACCGGTAATAAAGCATCCATTTCTCATATTTTTTTCGTAACAACAATAATGAAAATTAACAATATCAGCTTTTAGTCTATAAGATCACTATGCATATACATTTATTAACGTTGCGTATTATTTTAGGAACGTAGGCAAGCGTTTGATCAGACTAGACAAGTCGAAGCGGCTTGGGGCGAGCTAAGCGATTTGCTATCTCAACTTCATCGAAAGATGGAACAAGCAGCAAATACAATAAGATGTACAAATTGTGGCTTGAGACACAAACGTATCCCTACGCAACGTCCTTGTTATGCCGCGCGATTTTGTAATCAATGCAAAATACGTCACAGTGCAAAAGAAGTGAGTACCGCATTTATTTATATACATTTATCAGCTGTTCCTTTTCTTAAAATTAATCGTTTAAACTGTCCGTACAGGGTGATATATGGGCAGAGTCTCGTTTAATGGGTTTCCTATGGCACTATTACGCGTGCATGGAAGGAGCTGTGTACGATGTAACTGACTGGGCAGCTTGCCAAGCTGGGAATCTCAAACATCTTAGAGCGAATACGCATAGTGTCCAATATAGAATCGTCTTAGGACAAAGATTACCGTCTCAAACACCCAATAGCGGTAAAAAGCGGCAACAGATAGATCCCAATACAAGGTACAGTTTACACAACTGACTTTTATCATTATAATTCTTCTAAACTTAAGTATCGATTCAATTCTGAAAAGCTTTTAGACTCCTTTTTAAACATGTGTATTTAAAATGGATGTAATATATACATATACAGGATGTATCATTTTAATTAATACATTAAAATTAATACAAAATATCTCTTGAACAGCGCATTTTAGAGAAAAATGTTTCAGACAAAAGTTATATGGTTTTGAGGGGGACATAAGATGTTGTTCGAAAAGTACTTGATGAAAAATAATTTCATTATAGTTTTGGAAAACTCTCGAGGCAAGCTATAAGAATATGTAATATATGGGATTCCATTTAAGAAATTGATGATCTTTACGTGACCTTCAAACTTTTAAAGGTCAAACCAATAGCACTATCTTATGTCCCCCTCGAAACCATATAACTTTTGTCTGAAACATTTTTCTCTCAAATGCACTGTTCAAGATATATTTTAATGCGTCAATTAAAATGATACACCTGTATATGTGCGCGCGTGCGCGTGTGTATTTATATATATCTCTATTTTTTATAAAACAGCGAAGCGGATTTCGAGGATTTCCTAAACAATCTCTACAACCATAGTAAATCTGCTGGCGTTAATACATCGGGAGATCAAAATTCTTTCAGAAGTGATAGCAGACGACGCAAAACTAAGCGTAAGAAGTAGATAAATAGCAGTAGATGAACAATTGCTAAGCGTTTGACGTCGTTATATAATTATAAAGTGCGTATCACATTAGAACGCATATTATACGCAATCTTAAATTTATATATTATCCTTAAATAATTAACCTTAGCATATAGATGTTATATTCATAAAACGTTAATATCTGTGACTGATACACAATATGAGATTATGAGAAACTGTGTTCACGATGAACGTACATGTACTACAAAACATCATATCGAGTAGACTCACATTAAAAAAAAGAAAAAAAAACTCTGAGAATGATAGGAGAGTATCACAATAGTAATTATTTAAAACAACAGATACATTAAACGAAAATATTCAGTGCGATATTTTATAGATTTAAAATAACAAAAAAATGTTGATTGTCTCCAAGATAATACATAGAGATGCCAAATAATGATCATAGAAACAAAGTATTGTATGCGTCGCAAAGCTAGATTTGAACATAAAAATTTTTATATACGCATTTAGACAATTTGTATGATATAACCTTGTGTTCTTCCAGAAAAAAAATACTGATATCGGATTACATATTATAAAACCAACAAGTTTTGCTTTATTTTGTTTTTTTTAATCTTTTATAATATTAACTTCATTATCGAAATAAGTCATGATTTCTGAAGAATTATATCTAGTAAATACAAAATTTGTACAAGGGAGACAACGATGAAAAAAACCTTATTTTTAGAAAATTAACACACTAATTAGCAATTTAATAACAAAGAATGAAACAGATTGTATAAATCTATTGTATGTTTCTCAAAATTATTTTACCTAAAAAAATGTAAAAAAGATATGTTAATAAAATAAGAAAAAAACGACAAATTGTACTGTTTAAACGCACAAACAGTATTCGTACAGTCGAGAAATTTATTTTCTAACGTTATGATTATTTTCACAAAATTGTCTACTTATTAGGACAGAACGTATTTATTATTAATAAATTACAATAAATAATAGTCCTTTTCAACAAATAAGATTCTTTAAAAATCTCCCCTGTACAAATACTCTTTGCATTTACTGTATATATGCCATTTATAATTTAAATCCTGAATTGGCAAATGTAAAGAAGACTGATTTTATCTATTTTTGTTACTTATGTAAGTTATACATATATATATATACATATATATAACATATATGTATATTTTATATATATAGAAATATATATATATGTATACAGGATGAGTTTCAAACGTAAAATAAGATAAATATCTCGTATATGGAAAATACGGAAAAACATTTCAAACAAAAGTTATAACTTGATGAGGCGCAAATAATGGTAAAATTAATTTTAAAAAAATCATTCTTTCGAGATCATAAAAGTGTAATCGCCACTTTAAAAATAGAATTTTTACATAATATGATTTCTCTAACTATTCTGCATACAAAAAATTAAGGTAGAGATGTCGAAAAGTCAATAGTTCTCGAGTTATTCTATGGTTTACTCTGGCCATATATTGACATGAAATATTAAATACTTTGTAAAGTATTAATTATTTTGATAATTGTATCTTAATACTTTTACACATAATAATGGGATGAATCAATTAGTGTAAAGAAACACATAGTTGCCTATTAAAATTTTACATTTTGTAACACATAAACTGCATATTTTTTTGTCCTATTGCGTTTGAAATTTTTCATCCTGTACACATACACATACACACACAAAACTCTAGAAAGGAAGATAAAAATGTGATATTATATACATATGTGTGTACATATGTATACAATATTACATTATAGAAGCTGCAATTAGCTGAAGCGTATAGAAAGCGTATAGAATTCGTTAAGAACATTAGGAAATGTGGATTACAAAGATTTTATTTTGACAAATGCTTTATAAATAGTTCAGTAAAGATAGAATGATAAAAAAAGCAATGAACATTGCTCATTTTACGAACTATCACATTGTGTATGTATATTAATATACAGAACATTCTTATTTCATTTATGGAGACTGAATAAAATTCTCATTCTGGATTTATTTCAAGTTTCTGCATCTGTTTTAACGATATACAAACAGTAAAAATCATTTATTTCCATCTTGCGTTTATTTTCATTCCGCATAGTCAAATAGTAAATAGAAATGTAAAATAGTAGAGTAGCAATATAGGAGGAATTAATTCAAAAGATTAATTCAATTAGAAAAGAAAAACAAAGATATTCACAATACAATGTAATTGTTTGTCCGCAAATATTTTTATGAGTTTTAACATATAAGTAATTTACTATATACTTTTCCTTTTATGAAGTGTCAAATAAACACTTCACATACATGAAACAATCTGTTGTGTACCAATGAAAAATATAATAAATGAATTTAAAATTGAAATGCATTTTTATACAGTACGTTTAATAAAGCTTTCAGAATGCAAAACTTGTTTATATATAGTTTATATGTACTAGACGATATAAAAGAGTAAATTCAGTAAGGAACTAATTTTATTGGCAGATAAAAGAGACGCTCATAAACATTTTCCTAGTTATTATTATGGATAAATTATTATTATTTAAATATTCTTATTTATATAATATCAAAAATATATACAATATAACAAATCATTGCAACAAGCAACAGTATTTAATGCTCACAAATATCATCGCTATTATCTTTACGATTGTAAAAAAAATAAAAAAAAAACATAAAAAAAACATTAATTTTTTTCACTTCTATAATAACAGATACTAATTATGCAATTAATCGAGCATACCTTCCAAAAATACAAGTGCATCCACGTTATCAATGGCATTTTCTACATCACGTTTTTGAACAGTCTTTTTCTTCGCTTGTACAGTATATTTATAAGCTTCCTTTGCAAGAGATTCAATAAAAAATTCCTGTTAAAAGATAGATAATAATTTGAACACATTATAAAGTGCATCACAGTTAATTTTTTGATATTTACCACTGACTTCGCCACCAAAAACGTAGCCTCTTGATTAACTAAACAAACTTCAGGATCCATTTTGATGATGGTTTTTATTCTTCCTAGGGGTAGTCGTATCAATTTCTCTCGCTGCTCTTCATCACCATGCGAGATGTTGACTTCATCTCGCGAATCTTGCGGATTCTCTTCATGGATTTTATCGAGTTGAATCTCTTTGTTCAAAGCATCGACTTCTGAGTTGTCCATGTTGGCACGTAATGTATAGCTAGTGGCTACACACAAAAGCAAAAATTTGATATATTCAAAAAAGATGGATTGGTTTTACAAATTTATAACAATTGTTATTTCGAATATTAAAAACGATAATGTATATACAGTAATAAATATATATATATAGTAATAATTATAGTAATAAATACATATTGATATATTTAAAGTCACAATGGATAAAACTAAATAAATATATAAATGATATAATTACTTAATCGCAGATAATTGTTTAATTTGCCACGTTACCTCAAAAATTGAAATTAAACGAATAAATCTAAGAAAAGCTTTGCTCTGTCTAGTGAACTGAAACATTAATTGTTGAAATTAAGGAATATTCAGGTTAGGAAAAGTGTCAAGAAATATAGGCAAAAACCACGAAGTAACAAGGATACCAAAGCGGCCGCTGGCTTGTCCCGAAAAAAGATGAGCTCAAAACACAGTGTCGGGAAAGCGCTATATTCGGTTGTATGGCACAGAATAAAGTCACTAGTTTCTAAAGTACGAACAAACTTGCTTCTAAAGTACGAACAAATCTTGACGCAAAACGCGGTTATTTTCAAATTTAAGTACATCAGAGGGTCAATCATGTATTTCCACGTGAAACTTTCCACATTTCATTTTTCATTTTTCGCTTTTCATTTTTCACTCATCGAAATTTCACATGAAACTTTTCATGTATAGCGATTACATATGCGATATTGCATGGATGACTGAGCAATTCATATAATCTGTAACAACAGAAAGAAAAATAATAATAAACGTGACTGTGAAATAAAAAGAAATGTTATTAAATTATTTAAAACGCAATCCCGAATTAATGAGGGGTAGAATAGATAGAAAAATGTGTACTATACGTGTGCTATACATGTACTATATATTTCGAATAAAATTTTCCTCGGAGAAAAAATTTTAGAACGTAGCCTAGGTAATTTACTTACTTCACGCATGCGCACTTCATTTTGGCTAACACTAACATCAAAGATGCCGACAGAGAGTTGTGCTCTACTGTATATACTGTGTTAGTTTTCTCATGGATCTATAACATGAAGAATAGAGCAAGCAAACACAAGCGAACGAGCAAGCTAACCGTAAAATGCACAAGCAGTAATTCGTATGTGCAAAACAGTGTATGAACAGTGCATATGATGCAGTTCCGCCATTTTGATGCAAACTTGAAAGCCTATTGCGGTACTTTAGAAATCTAGTGCTTTTATAGCAGAACAAAATTGAGCGCTCCATCGGAGAAAACTGAAATAGAGTATTTTTCAACAGTTGTATAAAAAGAGATTTTATATATAGAATAAGCAAAGCATAGGGATCGACGTATACTTAGCAGACAAGTTTAATATTTCTTATTTTTTATTGTATAAGTTTGGGAATAGTTTGGGAAAGTTTAGAAAAAAAGTCTTATAATTTAGGAAACAATTTATTTATAAACAACGAAAATTAATCGACCGTATTAGCAGAAATAGTTAGCAGAAATACTTAACATTTCTTATTTTTTTTTTATTGTAAAAGTTTCGGAATAGTTTGGGAAAGATTAAGAAAATTGTCTTATAATTTGAGAATTAATAATTTTATTGTAATTATTAACAAATTAAATGTAATTATTTAGAGTATTGCACCTTCGATTTTGATGAAATTAAGCTCATTCGATGTGTTTTTGCTCGAAATAAAAGAATCTCTAATGCCCATTTCTACTAACGTAGATTAACTCGATTCAACTTATTCTTTGTTGAACTGAGATTAAAGTTAATTACGTTAGTGGAAATGAGTATAAGAAAAACATTGGGACGGTCCCGTGAACCAAGATATTAAGCGTTAAAGTTAACTGTTATTGAAAATTGTTAGGAAATCTGTCAGAGGCAAAATGAGATCTATAATTGTACTGTTCTACGTGGATTTCGACTTTCCACGCGAAGTGACTCTCACCCCCTCCCCCTCCGCGGTAATCCTTCAGAAGAGCTGCCTCACATCCGATTTTGATGAAATAAGACTCATTCGATGTGAATGAAACGGACGAATTTAGCAGAAAAAAGCGTTGCTCTGCTCTGTGATCCGAGATATTAAATGTCAAAGTTGATAACTATTGGGGGGAAATCTGTCAGAGACAAAAGGAGAGGGGGGGGGGTATTAAAAAGAGTAATTATTCAGTTTATAGCTGACGCACCCTAAAAAACAATGGAATTGCTTATTCGATGTGTTTTCGCATGAAACGAATAAAAAAAGGCCTTTTTCGGTGGTTTTTATTTTTTTTCTATTTAACATTTAACTAATAGATCCGATCTTAATGTTCCACATCTCATTTTGTAAGTATTTTAAATACCTATATTTTTCATACTGAACTTTTTTCTATATACAATCGACATCTTCCATTTTATAAGCGAAAAACGTGCTTTTTGCAACTATTCGAATTTTTTTCGCATATTTCCCACAGTTGTGAGTTGCGAGTTTCAAACATATACATTTCTTTTCTGATAGCCTTTGGAATATTTTCGTACAGAGAAATGTCAACTTACAATTTTTGCGCGAAACGGTCTTTTTCTAATGTCTAATTCTAATGAACTAATGAGACTCCGGCGACTTCTCGCTACCAAAGCCTCACCCATCGCTCGGACATCATCGTCCAGAAGATAATCCGCGCAAATACGTGATTATTCAGTGATTTTTAGAAATTAATATCTCCTAAAGTATTGGGAAAATTACAAAATGGTAAAGGACTTTTCAACTCAGTTCAGTCCGCTCTACCAACTCACGAGACGCGATCCCATAGGTCGGGAACCAACATCTTACGCCCGAGTGTTCTAAATTTTGACAGAAATACTCCAAATGACGTCACAAATGAATGCCTTTAAATGGATTTCCACCGGAAAAAAAAGTTTAAAGCCAAGAATGTTTAAATAAAGTTGTATACCTCGCTTCGCATGAGAAGTCGCCCCTGAGCAGAGTGACTATTGCATTTTATAATGCGAACAGGAAATTTTTAACTAAACAAGCTTATAATTTTGAACATTTTTGGCATTAAATTTTTTTAACAGTAGAAATACATTTAATTTAACTCAAAAGGAAGCTTTTTACAAAGTTTTTTTTTAATTCAAAATGTATCGTTTACAGAACTCCTCTCTAATATATACTTGTAAAATTGATGAAAAATAACCCAGGACACGAAAGATCTATTGTGTGTAGTAAAAGTGCTAAAAATCATCGTGTGCAGCAAAGCTTAAGAAAGGTTGCGCATCACTGCTCTATTCTGTATATTTTTTGCTTTAATCGATCGCTTCCCTCTATAGAGTTGAAAAATTTGTGTTAAATTCAGCATATTTGTATATTCCACCCAAATTTTATTAATTACTCAGATATATTAAAAGTTCAATTAAAAAATAATAAAAACCAGTTTTAACACAATTAAGTACAAAATGTTTTATACTGTGCATCTTGCTTTCCTATTTATCATACGTCAATATGATAGTATATTCGTTTCATTAGAACATTAAACATGAGAAACCCATACAGCATGCTTGACTGTTTGTCGACTAGTAGTCGATTTTCAAAGTCGACATTTAACCGACTATTAAAATAAGATGATTGTCGGCTTATAGTCGACTTAAAATTGACATAACCGATTACATTGGCTAACTTACAGCTGACTATAGTTGGGACATTTGTCGTTTTTAAGGCTCAGTTCCACAACTCACGGTTAATCGAGGTTCAATTTATTCCTCATCTGTTTACAATTCAATCGAGAGGGTCCTATGTCCGTTTCTACCAATGTGGTTTAAGTTTAATCTCGGTTTAACAAACTCTTCATCTTTTTCTAAGAATTAGAAAAAGACGAAGAGTAAATACTACTGGAACTACTACTGGAAATACTACTCGACTCGAGGAAACACTACTATGACGAGTTCAAAAAAATCGATTTTTTTTGCATTTTTGTAATGCTTGGAATCTTAAAAATATGTCTCTAAAATATTATGTTGAAATTCGTAACGGAATTATAGTAAATATGTGATGGAATGCACGTGGTCAAATGCATAAATTAATCGGTTGTAAAACTTTAAATACGTTTTCTCGAAACCACGTTTTCGTAACTGGGCGCTTACATATCTCGGCCAATTTTTATTCGAATGACTTCAATTTTGGACAGAATGTTTACAACAAAATTGTCTTCAGTTAAGCGTACGAATTTTTCAATTGGATTATTAGTTTTTGAAAAAACAATAAAAAAAAAAGTAATGATTTTTTTCGCAAAATCGCAACCTCTTTTCAAATAGCGCCATTTTGTCTAAAATTATTTTATCAAAAAATCAATACACTTAACTGAAACTACACTTATATATTAGGTGTAGTAAAAATAATGGATTTCTTTTTACTACATCTAATATATTGGGTCATCTAAAAAGTATCCGCGGTATTTTTGTTTTATTTTGTCACTAGATATATGACCATCAACACACATCTAGACGTGACAAAAAACCGCGGATACTTTTTAAATGACCCAATAATACTTTAAAACTTTGTTTATTTAGAGCTCCCATTCAAACGCAGCACGAACGTCCGTGCACCCATGTTTCCAGACAAGATGCACATCAATGAACACTGAGGCTAGAAATATTAATATTATTTAATGAATGTTTTGTAATAACTATGTAAATGTACGTACTTTAAATATATAAAGACAATAATTCATATAAGCTATTAGTTTTCACAAAAAAAGTTCACAAAAGCCTTTTTTTTCGTCATAGTAATGTCCCCCTTAAAAAAAGATTAAAGTTAATCTATATTGGTAGAAATGGATATTAGTCGATTAGAAGTTGACATTCAGTCTAACTTAAGTCGACTTTAGACTTCTTCGACAGACAACCGACTAACAGCTTGTCTGAGAATTGAGAAGCAATATTAGATTAGAAGAAATGTATTGGACCTCCAATAATTTTAAAATAGAGATAGTTAATTACTCTTGTTAAAAACATTTAAAA